CTTATTTTGATTGATTGTAGTAAATGAGCATCGTCACGTTTATTAGCTAAATGCATAGAGAATAACGTTTGAGCAAACTTTGATTACTTCATAATTTGCATATTCAAAAATTCTATGTAAATATAATTACCGTTGTGCACTATTACAATCACTAGCTAATCACATTGGGGTTGGGGCTTGAGAACGCCCTTAATATGAAATATATCTATGTCGATATTTTTATTAATAATACTTTATTTTATTAATATACATAATAATAAAATAATTTACGTTGAAATTAAAATTCCGAAATCAGAAAATGAAATAAGAATACTTTTTAATATTATATTATCATACAAAAAAAAAAAAAAATAGAATCTAAGGAGCGTTTATTTCGAAACAAATACATAACTGATTTTATTCGAAATAAGACATCTGTCCATTAATTCTGAATCACCCTATTACGGAGATTAAGAAACTTTATGGAATATCGGGTCTAATTAACGAACTCTCAAATTAGGAAACATTCGGATGGTCGAAAATTCAGATAGTGATAATGTATGTTTAATTGTGTTATATAAAATCTAATACACGAAATTCGAATTTAGTATAAAATCTAATACAAGACATTCGAATTTAGTATTACTATTATCAAAATTCTGTGTATTGGAACTTATATATCGGATAGCTACGCACCGAAACCAAGAAAGAGCAATGCACCTCGAAACACATTGGTTCAAATGCTGTATGTCTCTTATGTATATCTACTATATAATGTAATTTATGTTCGCAAATTAAAACAATAATATTTATGAATTACAATATATAGTTTATGTGATTTTTTCTAAGAAAATAACCATCGGGACTATGGTTTGGGCGAAATTATATTTTTATTTCCGAAATAATAATCCTAAATTCCAAAAATCCAATATTCCGATAAATCTAATATAAGTCCGATATCATAGTTAAGGCAATTGCTAATAAGTTTTTTTTTTACTATGACGAAACGAACAAACCATATTTGTAATTATATATGTAATATTATCGTTATAATTAGTTGCGTAGAATCATTCAAGTTGTTCACCACCATAACCACAATAATTTAAGACATATCCAGAATGATTATTAAAAGGTTTAGGTAATGTTCTCTCCTTTTTATTAAGGATAATTAAGATATTAATATTCGACATATTTAGCAGTTATAAGTTTATAATTAGGGCAGGTTATATATGATTTTACAGACCTATAGTTAGATAATGTGCGATTTATTTTTTGTGCACCTGAAGTAGTTTATATTTAGAGTCAGTAATATATAAAATTGCTAATATATAAGTTTTGAGCCTGAAGAGATCTGTCTCCCGATCACAAAAGAGAATAGACAGCTGATCTGGAGGAGATGACAGATATTGTAATAGATGAATATCAATTTTTACAACATTACAGACATAACTACAGTATAAGGAGACAATTGATGCATGTACTGTGGATATCGATATGTACTGCAAAAAATTCTGAAAAGATCTTAATAGAGATGCCTTCATTGAGCATATTATCAAGAAAGGTTTTGATTGTGTAAATGGGTTTTACTTATTAACCTATGCTTTCACAGTTACTATTTGAATTGAATTTTGATATTTATTTCTCCAACAATTGAATCATCACCACAATTTTCACCACTACCCCAAAAACCCTTTATATAATTTCTTATATTTTCTTTTTTATGATTTTTATTACATAAAAGACAGGGTACTGATTTATTAAAATAAAAGTAATTATTTTTAAAGTTATGTTTTTTAGAGTTAAATAAGTAAATCACTCTAATACCATTTTAGTAACATGTTGTCTTTCTTTGAGATTGTTTGGTAGAACAGAAATTAGGAATTATCGTTTAGATGGTGTGGATTGAACATTTACCCGCGGTACAAATAAAATCTTTTTCTCAAAAGGGTCAAAGTTCTGGTTAAATATCTGTGAATTGAGTATGGATTTTTTCCCATTTTTCCATTATATCATCTAGTCATACAGTACTCAAACCACTTTTTATTATACCACGACGTAATAATTCTTCGCCAATCTGAACCAAATAAAATTTATTTGTAATAAACGTAACATAGTTTTTAAAATATTCTATTAAATAGTCAAAATAGGTAACGAAATTATCAGTGAATGCTCAAATAGTCATATCGATATGTAAATTGCGATTATTATTGTTGTTGTTATTATCAATAATTCAGGTTGCATTATACAAAAATAATTATTGGCCCGTTGAAATTATATTGTACAACATGCAAAAGTAAAATTTCGCCCATGCATCTAATTATTTATTCAGAATTGCATCTTGTAATCTCCATATATCTACTATAATGAACATCGTTAAAAGTAATATGGTAGAAATAACTATTTGATATTCCGGAATATTGCCACCATCACAAGGAACCCCTCCAAATCCGATACCAGTGATCACACTTGCTGAAACATGTGCAGTATTTAGAATATATATTCGTGAGAGATCTGCTATTTCGAAAGACTTGACAATTACAGGTATTGTTGGATTTGGATTGTTACGTAAGTAAAGCAGTGCAAGAAGCGCAACAGATGGGAATGATTTGATGGCTAAATAAATTTGAGTAGTGGTCCGTTGAGAAAAATATTTCATAGCCAATTCATGCAAATTATTTAAACTCTCTGTATTGCCGATTTCCACCACTAGAGTTGGATATGGTTTTTCGGATGAATTAACTGCTTGTGAGGGTTGAGGTTGTCGACGATTCCTTGGTCGAATACAAATATCAGGACGACAGACACTTATTGTATCCACAATAAAATCTAATTCACCATGGACTTTAACTGAATATTTCAGTTACCCATAATAAGGATCAATTCTTCTTGTACCGCTGAGTGAAAGTCAAGAGGCATTTCGTAAGCTTCAATTTTTCCATCGATCAAACGATGTTTAACAGAAATTCTTGGTTCTCCTTCACAAAACTTAAGATAAGCACTCCGTGATATCCCTCTATCAATAATAATTCCCTTTCGTTTTACTTCTTCGATTCCTTCTTGTCGCCTGGTAGTAAGAAGTTTGTGTCTTGCTGAGTCAAACGCCAAGGTCCATTTAGAGAATAATTCATACTACAATAAGGAAGACATGGTGTTTGAGTGATGTGAATGACGTTTTTACAGAGAATTAATGATCAAATAAGATAGCTGCGCGACATTGTCAGGAACGGGAGACATGAGGAGTATCGGCATTGTATTTAGTAAATATATAAGTTGTCGCACTTAGTGATGTGCCGCGTACAGTATAGCAGTGTTGTCACGGAACATCTTGGACATTTTTAAATATTAAAATTACTCAAAATTTTACTAAGATAATCTACTTTAACTTTCTAAGTAAAAATGGTTAAAACTAAATAATATATACAGTATAATCATATTATTTTTAAATAAATTATTTAACTTTGGACATTTGGACGTTGGACATGGCATGGACATCAAAAAGTACATCCCTGCAGTACAGTACACAAAAAAAAAAATTTAGAATATTCTAGATCAAATCATGAAAAGATCTATATCTCAAAATTTTGATTATGAAACTGTTTTTCGCATCTACCAAAAATTGTTCCTTGCACGATGTTGCATACAAATTATTTATAAATGCTACGTGTATTATGTGTATGATATACACACTATCAGACACCCAGTTTAAAAATATATATTTTTTATTATAGGCATTTAGAGTTATCTAGATATTAATTATTAGATAAAAAAATAAATGAAGCACTGGTTACAATTATTTTCGTTTAGATATTGTATAAAAAATAGTGTTAAACTAGTACAATTATTTATAAGTCAATGAAGTTTCAACAGAGTAGCTCTCAAGAACAGAACAATTATATTAATAAATGTTATTCCAATTCGCAGTGCTTTACTTGATATCATAGTGGTTTGTTATAACAATAACCGATTTTATACAAAGAAAATAGAATTTATTAAATTTAAAAAATTTCTTTCTCGTTTATAATTACTAATTTACAATCGATCGTTACATTTTTTATGTACATTTATCGATGCTTATATTTCTTATGCTAATAACGATCAGTCCATAGGCTTGAATAATGTCGCAGTTATTTTGGGCCCTTATATATAATATTTTTTAAAAAATTAGGCCCTTTAATGTAATTATTTTTAATTCGGGCCCATATTTTCACTTTCCGGGCCCTTATTAAATTACCTATTGTTATATCATTTGGATTGATTTCCGGACAATCACATGATCATCCGGAGTACAACCTGGTGCACATTGGTGCACATTTTCGATTTATTTATAGCCTATGACATAATAATAACGTACATCCATTCTTATTACTGCGTTAACACTCATGGCATCGAAAATACTTTTGAGTAATTATACTTATGCGCACTTATGAACTGGCATTGGTGGAGAATGTCAATACCTATTCTTTGGCGAGATCCATCTTTATTAAAACGAAGACCTTTATTCATTCCAAGATATTTTTCATCTCTTAATAATGAAGAAAAATTTATTTTAGAATGTGGAATAATTACAGAATTTTCCAAAACACTATTTGATTATGCAAGATTTTTAAAGGTCCATCTTGTTTAGAAAGTAGAGTAAACAATTGGATCAAAATCAAATGTGTTAAAGATGCAACAGCAACATGTTTCGTAATTAATTTATTATTCAAATTATTTACCAAAAATGGTGTGAATTCGCCTTATGTGAATCTTTTACGTTTAAGCCAGAGATCTTTACTTATTAGAACAAATTGACCAATTTTTTTCATGACTTCAATACCTATCTTTGGACATTACACCAAATTTCAATGTTGAATTATTAAAGGTCCTGGCAAAAAAAACTAGAACAATAAATAGTTTGAAATTTAAATTTCATCATAATTATGAATCACAATTATTTGATGCTCTTATTTGCATCATTTAAATTACATAAGCAACTTAGAAAGTTTTACTTATTTGGAAATGAAAAATTCTACAGAATCTTACGGGATCTTTTCGGCTTTAGAGAGTCAAACAACTTTATTGCAAGAAGTTACAATAGAAATTATGCTTGTAATGAAAAATTCGAAGTATTAAAAAATTGCAAAAATTTAGAGATACTTCATATTATGTGATGCAACATGTAACTATCAAAAATATTAGATTATAAAATCAGCACTTTAGAAATAATTCATTGCCCTCAAATCGACGCACAGAATATAAGTTTAGTCTTACAAAAGTATGACATATAATTCTGAAGTGTTTTTAGAAGATTTGGTGTTTTTAGGAGCAATTGATACGTTTGTCCAAACATTATATCTTTACATTAAGAATATTAGGTTTTCCACACAACTCCTAGAGCTAATTGGTAATTTACAAAAGCTTCAAATTCTTCAATACCAGAAGTAGTAGTGTGATCCGTTAATCGACAATTCGGATAACTATTTAAGATCTGTATTTTTTGTGTAATCTGTATCATCTGTATAATTTTTTGCAAAAACTATGCAGTCCATATTCAAACTATACTTAACTAATTAAATTATAGTTCATTGTAGTTATTTGTTAAAACTATAGTTAACTGTAATTAACAATTCAAACTATAGTTAACTATTCAAATTATCATTAGTTGTAATTGACTACTAGACAATAGTTATTAAACTATCAAATTGTTAATCATCTATTACTTATTTTTCTTTTTTCTTTTGTTTTACTTGTTGTGTTAAACAATGAATTAAGAAAATAAAATAAATTTACATTAAGTGTTACATTTTATAATTTTTTAAGAAAAATATTTATTCATAATAAGGATGATATTTTAGAATTGAACAAAATAAGTAATAACATATATAAATATCTAAAAAAATAAGAGTTAATAATACACAAGGTGTTAATCTTAAAAGTTGAGTCTAGTTATATTTTAATTATACATATATTAATAATGTAAGACATGTAATTTGTAAAGTTGAAAAAGTAAAAGAAATAGAATGTAATACAAAGTACAAAGTTAGCATATCAACAAGTAATTGTTCTTATCATCTATTAAACATTATGTTAAAAATAAAGATAATACAGAATTAGTTATATCTCATAATAAATTATATTAGCTTCAATTATGTTAGTATCTTACAGATTAAATTACAACTGATTTTTAATTATTTACTATTTTTGAAAATCTAATTTTTAGAAGATTTATAATAAAATTTTAAATCTTATATATTACAAATATAAAAAAACTTATACATATTGTATATAATTATTTATATAACTTAATTATAGAAAAAGCAAATATTAATTCAATTTTTGTATTTTTGATATGCTTTTTAAATTAATAAAAGTTAATAATAATTTTTGTATAAAACATATTTATATATAGATCATGTATTTAATTTTATAAAATTACTTTTTTTATTAAATATATTTGTTATTTATATAGTGCAATTAATATTGATAAGAAGACATAGTAATATAGTAAAGTGGTCATGTTGTTAACCTTTAAGTAGCAGGTCTATAGTTCAAATCTCAGTGTTGATAAAAATTTGAAATTCTTTCTGTGTTATAATTAACTGTCTTCTGCTATTGGTTAGAATCAAATATCTGTTACTTATTTTTTTTTATTTTTTTATTTTTTTTATTTTTTTTTTTTATTAAGGTGACCTCTTTGGTCTTTTGACTTTTATTA